CAGTAACACGCTCACTGCCACCCCAGCATCGACCTGCTGGACTCAGGTGATCCTTCCGCCTCAGCTATCCAAGTAGCCAGAACTACAGGTGCATGTTACCATGCCCAGCTAATTTTTTGACTCATTGTAGAGATGAGGTCTTGCCAAGTTGCCCAGGCTATTGAACCCACGGGCTCAGGCAATCCACTTGCCTCAGCCTCCCAAAGTGCTGGGATTACAGGCTGAGCCACCGAGCCTGGCCTATCTAATAATTTTTATTGTATGAGTAACACACAGTAGAGACATATTGTGTTCCTTTGAAGAGTGCCAACTTTTGTTTTTAGTAGGCAGTTCTTGTGAACTCAGTCTACAAACTCTGAAGAAGATAGTGCTAAAGCCTTAGTTGGGGTGCTTGGAGTCTGCCCAATATTTGTATAGAGAAGGTATTGCTCAGACATTTTAAATCTTAAATGCTTGTGAAGACCTAAAGAACAGTGAGAAAAACCGTATTAAAAACCAGAGAAAATGGGATCCTTGTTACGTATTGGCATACAGTTTAGCAAGCCTATTATCTGCAGCTAATGTGAGAACTGGGTTATCTAGCTAAGATTTTCAAGCAATGTGTTGAATGTGCTGCTGCCGCTACTGTTTTCTTGCTACTTATAGAAAAAATGCACGAGAAGAGGTAGAAATTGAGAGGTGAGTTGTTCACAAGGAGCCAGGACACTGGGTTTTGGAAACTTTCAGCCTCTGTAGATAGTAAACAATATTACAATCAAGAAATGACCTCCAAGCCATTAAACCCAGGGTGCTGCTAGGAAATCTAGAGAAAAAACTAAAAGCACAACTGTAATCATGAAGGAATCTCAAAAAGATAAAAAGTCAATGTCTCAGAGTACTATTTAATCACATAAAAACTCTGTAAAGAGATTGAACCTTCATACTCTTATTCAAATAAGATTCTAACCTTATCTCAAAGAATTTGTGGCTGTAACTTCTGTCCAATGAAGTGAACCCTACTGAGTTTCACATGAAGCCCACAAAATTTTTAAGAGACTCAGTTCAATGGAAATAGGTACAAAATGAAGGGACCACTGGATTTTCAAAATTCTAATATCAGTAAGCAAGCTTAGAAAGCTATTGACCTGCAAACATATTTCATGGAAAAGGATGACTCAGGGTGCAGAAATAAGAGTTCAGATGGTGGAGAATTATTCCCAGGTCTTGAAATCGGATAAAGAAATTCCCAAACATTTGTCTGACCAGATTTCAGAATTACTATACATCAGTAATTCCACTAAGTTGACTGGGGTGTGGTGTGCAGATAACTTGTTCATTTCCCAAATCTGTAGATGAACTGTACTTAAGAAACTGTTATCTCATGAGCCTCATCAACACCAGTTCCTATTTTAAATGACAAGATTCTTGACTTTGTTGCTTGCTGTAATGAGGTGAGATTCTGGGAGAGGACCTTGGAAGGAGGTGGGTCTATTTTGCATGTAGAAGAGACATGAATCATGGGGGGTGGGGAGGGGTAGAGAGGGAAGACTGGTTAGCAGTCTTTAAAATGGTTTCCAAAGTTCCCCACCTGTTATTCACACCCTTTTGTAATCCCCTCCTCTTGAAAGTGGGCTAGACCTAGTGACTCCTAATTAACCATATGCAAAGATGAGGGGATGACACTTCAAGTATTAGGTTGAGACATCATCTTCCATCTTGGGCACCCTCTCCTGCTCACTTATTTTCAAGCAAACCATTTGCCATGTTGTGAGCTGCCCCAGAGAGGCCCACATGGAATGGGGCTAATTTATCTGAAAGTTAGTGAGGAGCTGAGATGTGCCCACAGTTTTGTGAGTTTGGAAGTTGATCCTCCTCTAATGAAGCCTTCAGATGACCACAGCACTGGTCAATAACTAGACTGCAGTCTTGTGAGAGACCCTAAGCTAGAGACACCCAGCTGAACTATGTCTGATTCCTTATCCAAAGAAATTGTGAGATAATGGACATCATTTTCAGCCACTAAGCTTTGGGGTAATTTGTTACATAACATCATGGTTCTAACTCTATGACTCAGTGAGTGAAAACAGGGATTCTATCAGAAGTCTAAGATACTATATTGATTAGAATTATAGTAGCTGCTATTACAATTAAAACTCAATCAAGATGTTAACTCAATAGATATTTATTCTCACATGGTAATCCATTGCTGGTGTTCCTGGGTGAATGGGGGCTTTCCTCCAAATATTGGCATAAGGACACAGTCTTTCCGTCTTCCAGATTTGCCATTCCATACAATTATGATTCTTCTTCCAGATGGACAACACATCCTGTTCTTAATAACCAAGCCATGAGGGACGTATCCCTTCTACTCATACCACATTGAAGAAAATTTGTCTGACAGACACAATTGGAAGCAAGGGTGCCTGGCAGACACATTCCAGAACCAATTCTAGACAATAGAAAAAGGAAGCACAAACTTGTGGTGCACATCTAGTCACATCATATATATCATTAGTAAATACATACCCATGACCAGAAATAACCACAGGTTTGTGATATCAATGAATCTACTATAAACTACATTCATCTAAAAATTCCTCCACAAGCCCTAACTCTGCATAAATGCAAGCCATTTCGGAATTCCAGTGGAAATGTTCATGGTGATTTAAGTTAGAATCATTCAATAGTACCCAGTCCCCTTGCCAGTGATTTAAGTCAATGTGAGATTTGGATGCCATGCCATGAAATGTTTTTAATTAAAACAAACACTTAGAGCACTTTCAACCCTGGGGATCAATTATTAAACACGGTGGAAATACCAGAAATCAGAACATTCTAGGAGTTCTAAGGCTTATTAGGACCTTTCCGCTTTATTCCCATAGTCAACTACTGGTTCTGTAATCCAGCTGCTACATAGTTCCTATAGAAATCAGGTACCTTCTCCAAAGCAGTCACTCTCATGAGAAGTCCCAGTACCTAAAGGTGACATGAGGGTGTTTTTAAAGATGCTGATGCTGCTTTCATTTCAACATGGAAAGGCTACAGGGCCCTGACAGGGAAACTTGCAGAAAATGAGTGAGGGGCATGAACATAAATGACCCAACCCAGCATTTAAAACTTGCGAATTTATTGCTAGACATGATGGCTTATGTCTTTAATTCCAGCATTTTGGGAGGCTGAGGCAAACCTGCTTGAGCCCAGGAGTTCAAGACCAGCCTAGGCAACATAGCAACAAAAACCCAAAAAATTAGCCAGGTGTGGTGGTGTGCACCTGTAGTCCCAGTTACTCAGGAGGCCGAGGTGGAAGGATTACTTGAACTTAGCATATTGAGGCTACAGTAAGCTGTGATCATGCCACTGCACTGTAGCCTGGGTGACAGAGTGAGACCCAGACTCAAAAATAAATATATAAATAAAATAAAAAACAAAACTCCCTAATTATATCAAGTCCTTCTATGTTATGCAAATTTCTTTCTTTTTTTTTTTTTTTGAGCTGGAGTCTCACTCCATCACTCAGGTTGCAGTGGCATGCTCATGCCCATCAACCTGCTGGGCTCTGGTGATTCTTCCACCTCAGGCTTCCAAGTAGCCAGAACTATAGGTGTGCTACCACACCCGGCAAATTTTTTATTTATTGTAGAGATGAAGTCTTGCCAATGTTCTTAAGAGCTGAAAGGGGAATCAAAGTTTTCTAAGATCCTTGAATCCTTCCTGATAGCTTTATCCCAATAGCATGGTTTCAGACCTTTCCCAGATTACTTAAGCAAAGTGGTAAGGTTGAAAATTCAGTAAGCATCATAGCTCAGCCACTAACCACATCTACTGTTGTGTTTGTTTTTTGGCAGTGACCACCCCATTGTTAGGAGTAGAAAGTCTTCCCAACTCAGTCATAAAGCCTCTGATTTCTACTTCTTGCCTAAGGTAAGATTTCAAGTGGCCTTGAAATTTTACTTTTAATTATCCAATTTCATTATAAGTACCACATATACTTTTGGAAGCAGCATTCCTCAGCATTTTTAGTTTTTGGTAGGAGTTATTGAGCCCCTAACACACACACATGGGCTTACAATCCAGCTATATCATGAAATCTTTTCATAGTACATGGTAGGATTAGGAGCTTTTCTGTCCTTTGATCTAATTCACTCAATAACCAATCCTTAATACTCTGCTTCTCTATAAGTTTGGTAACCATTCTCTAGTATCAATTTATGTATTAGCTAGCTTCTTTGATTGAGAACAAAATAATCCAACTCTAACTTAGAAATTAAATATTAGAAGACAATCAGGTAGCTAATGGATTTAAAGAACTGAACAAAACCAGGATGTAAGGAAGCAGGGATCATTTCAATAGATCCCAGTGAGAGATAGATAAATCTTTAGGTTGCCACCAAAGGATGACTCAATTCGAACTACTTCCAGTCCAGGAGTTATATTCCATATACTTAACAGCTGGCACAGTAAGGGTTCTAGCCAGCTGAAATTAATACTGACTAAAAGAAAATATCCAGCCAGGCTCGGTGGCTCAGCCTGTAATCCCGCGACTTGGGAGGCTGAGGTGAGTGAATTGCCTGAGCCCGCGGGTTTGAGACCCGCCTGGGCAACTTGGTGAGACCTCATCTCTACAATAAATCAAAAAAATTAGCCGGGTGTGGTAGCGCGTGCCTGTAGTTCCAGCTACTTGGAAGGCTGAGGCAGAAGGATCACTGGAGCCCAGCAGGTCGAGGCTGCGGTGGCTGGGAGCAGCCACTGCACTCCAGTCTGGGCGACAGAGTGAGACTCCAACTCAAAAAAAAAAAAAAAAAAAAGGAAATATCCATTGTGGCCATACTGGTTCCTAAAGCTGAACATTGGCTCTGCTCCTGTCCCTAGGTCTCCAATCAAAATACAGGAATGAAAAATCTAGTTGGCTTAACTAGTCACGTGTGACTGGCAGTTCACCAGAACAATACAGAATAAAGAAAAGTGTATACTAAAAGCAAGAATAAGTAGTTGCATTAAAGACAAAAACAAATTTCAACATATATGTTGAATGTGTGTATATATACACACATATATATTCAATATTAATTTTGACTTCGATTACAAGATCACTTTACATAAAAGGTTCTGAAAACTACACATTTCATTAAATATACTGTGGGTAATTCTCCACATAAGTATACATACAGCTTAACTGCTTTCTACTAACTGTACCACACAGTACTGAATAACTACAATTTAATCAATCTGCTTGGCAGGACACTGAATTCCTACTAGCCATAACTAAAACAATTCTATAATAAACGTCATTTACATCTACCTATTTATTCCAATGGGATAAAATTCCTAGATCTGAAATTAGTGTTTGAAAAGGAATGAAAATTTATAATGTTGGTAAGTCATGCTATATTGCCCTCCAAAAGGGAAGACAGATTTACATTGCTAATGATGAACAAGTACCTGTTTCCCCACACTACTACCAACACAGGATATTATCCAAATTTTAGATTTTAATCCTAAGAGCCTAGATAACTTGTTTTCATCTATATTCTTCTAATTAGGTTAACTTCACACATTTTCTTTGTTCATTTGAATTATTCAGGGTTACTTGTCTGTTGGTATACTCTGCCAATTTCCCCCCATTGCTCTGTATGTCAGTGAGCATTCTGTTTCTACCTGGCATATTCTTCTCTGTAAGTTGCATATGTTTTCTATCATCTTTTACATGCTTTTGGCACCTTCCATCATGCTGAAGTTTTAAATCTTTGCACTGGCCAACTTAATTCTCTTCCTTTGTCTTCTAGGACTCCATGTCCTGCTTGATCAAGGCTTCCTCTTTTCTATTTACCTCTAACATATTATTTCATAATCAGAGATGCTAAATACAATTGTTTTATATTTCTCTGTAAGGTGTAAATGTGTTTCTATTTTTTTTAAGAGGTGGATAACCAATTATCTAAACATTGCTTCCTCAATATTGAAATACCAGTCTTATTATATACTGAACTCTCACAGGCAAAGAAAAATATTTCAAAAATTTCCTTCCTATTCTTGCCTAATTATGCTTCCTCATGTTTCAAATAAAGTGTCAAAGTAAGTAAACATATCTTACTGGGCCTCTTTAAAATTCCAGTTTACAACCATTTTAACAGTATTGAGTATTTCATCTAGAAAAATATCATTTCTCGGTTTATTGACATATATATTTCTCAATGTAGCTTAATAATTTTTCACTTCTATTCATAAATAATTCCCATGTAGTGTTTTTGATGTGAGAGTTGTATTACCCTCATCAAATCAGAACCTTTTGTATATTTTTCTTTACACTAGAGTAGGGGTTGGCTAGCTTTCTGAAAAATGACAGTAAATGTTTGAAGCTTTGTGAGCCATGCATTCTCTGTTGCAGTTGTATATAGTGGATATAAACAATAAGTAAACAAATGAGCTGTGATTTGATAAAACTGTTTACAAAAACAGGCAGCAGATTGGTTGTGGCTCATGAGCTGTAGTTTGCTGATGTCTGCTTTACAGCAGGGATCACAAGCATTTTCTGCGAAGTGTCAGACAGTAGGTATTTTGGGCGTTGCAAGATACACAATCTGTCACCACCACTCAACTCTGCTGTTGTAGCCCGGAAGCAGCTACAGACAATATGTAAATCAGTGAGTATGGCTGTGCCCTAATAAAACTTTATTTACAGTCACCAAAATTTAAATTTCACATAATTTTAATGCTGGAAATGTTCTTTCACTTTTTTCAACCACATAAATTAGAAAAAGAAAAAATACTTTAGATAACGGACTATACAAAAACAGTGAGACTGTGATCACAAGTCAGAGTTCACTGACCCCTACTCTAGATCAGTTTACCTTACAGATAATTGTTTCTTGAAAACTTGATAGAATTCAATCATGAACCAAGTGACTTTAAACAGATCTAATCTTGCCATGTTTTTTAATTCTTGAGTAATGTCTCAGTTTTAACTGTATACACATAAATCTTGCATTTTCTGATCATTTAAATTCATTTGTTCCAGATAGCCATTCATTCTGCCCCCTAGACTTTCTAAGATTGTTGTCAAATGTATATTAAAGTGGAATTTTCTGACCAACAGGGTCATATCACCTACTTGGAGAACTTCTGTTCCTGATCTAAAATCTGTTTTTTCCTACCTTCATCCTGTTGCACTGTTTTAATCAGACTATGATAACTTTTCAATGTTCAAAAACAACATTTTTAAGAGCAAAAATTATGGAACACTTAGTATAGGACCAGGCACTGTGCAGAGCACATCTTACACATTGACCAATTTAAAAGAACCACAAGTTTTTCATGAGGAATGAATAAATTACATTTACACTTAAAAAAATTAATCTGACTGCAACATGAATAACAAACTAGTAAGGGGCAAAGACAAAATGGCAGGGAGATACGTTTTTAAACTACTGGAGTAGTCGAGCTGAAATGATGTCTTAAGACTATGGTGATGGGAGGGAGGATGGATTCCAGAGAAATTTGGGAAACAGATCCACAGGATTTGACGTGGAAGGTAAAGAAGGATGTTTTGATGACTCTCCAGTATGAATTCGCTGATGATGAGCTAAGTGTAGAGTCTGCCGGAAGATTTTTCTGCTTTTCTTATAGTTGTAGGACCTCTCTCCAGTATGGACTCTCTTATGTTGATTAAGGTGTCCGATTTGGATAAAGGTTTTCTGACATTCCTTACATTCATATGGTTTCTTTCCAGAATGAATTCTCTGATGTACACTAAGGGACTGACGATGACTAAAGGCTTTGCCACATGCACTACATTCATAAGGTTTCTCTCCAGTATGACTTCTACGATGACAAATAAGGGATGACTTCGTCTTGAATGCCTTCCCACATTCAATACATTCATAAGGTCTTTGGCCAGTGTGAAGTCTCTGATGTTGAGTACAGGATGAGTTATCACCAAAGGCCTTCCCACATTCCATACATTTATAGGGTTTCTCTCCAGTGTGGACTCTCTGATGTTGAATAAGGTGTGTGGTCTGGCTGAAGGCTTTCCCACATTCCTTACACTCATATGGTTTCTCTCCTGTGTGAGTTTTCTGATGCTGTGCAAGGTGAGCCTTCTGGGTGAATGCTTTACTACAAACCTTACATTCATAGGGCTTCTCACCAGTATGAATTCTTTGATGAGTAGCAAGCTGAGAACTGATGCTGAAGGATTTCCCACATTCCCCACATTCAAAGGGTTTTTCCCCAGTATGAATCCTCAAATGACTAGCAAGGTGTATATTCTGCCTAAAAGCTTTTCCACATTCTTTACATTTGAAAGGCTTTTCCCCAGAATGTACTCTTTGATGTTGAGTGAGTGATGCATGATGGCTGAAGGCTTTTCTGCAAACATCACATTCATATGGTTTTTCTCCAGTATGAATTCTTTGATGTACAGTAAGGGATGAGCCATACCTGAAAGATTTGTGACACACATCACACTTGTAAGGTTTCTCTCCAGTATGGATTCTCCTATGTTGATTAAGCCCTATGTGGTCACTGAAGGCTTTCCCACAGTCAATGCAATCAAAGGGCTTCTCCCCAGTGTGATAGTATCTCCAGTGACGAATAAGGGATGTGTTCTGTATGAAAGCTTTCCCACACTCAATGCACTCATAGGGTTTCTTGCCAGTGTGACATCTCTGATGTCGTGCAAAAGATGAGCCATCACTAAATGCCTTTCCACATTCATTACACTTATAAGGTTTCTCTCCAGTGTGAATTCGCTGATGAACAGTAAGGGATGAGCTCTGGGTAAAAGTTTTCTTACAATCATTACATTTGAAAAGTTTTTTTCCTGCATAGATGGCTGTTTGTTTTATTGCCCTTGAATTTTTTGGGAAACTTTTAATTGAATCACAATTTTGAACTCTCTCTTCTGAATCATTAAAAAAAACCCATCTTCCAGATTTGTTATACACATGCTCTCTTTCTTTACAGGTTTTATTCCGAGTAATTGGGGCTTGCCTGAATTGTGTCTGTTGATCTACCAGCGTCCTTTCAAACACACACTCAGAATTCCAATTTTCTCTGAAAGTAGAACTCTCAAGTTTAGTGTTGGAAGTTCTATCCATTACTCTTTCAGCATATGACTCCTGTTTTGGAAATAATTCCTGGGTCTCGTGTACAGATTGCTTGCCTGAAAGATATCAAGAAAACGGATATTTCTCTTATCATGTGCTAGAAAAAAGAAATCTGCTAAAAGGAAAATTGACTAATTAATTAATTGGTGAATTAAACAACAAACTTTGCAGCTCTAAAAGTTATTACATTAAAACATGACAAGTACAATATATGTAAAATCCCAGATTGAGTTCATACAGATAACTAGGAGGAGGAAAAAGTTAAATATGTGAAAAATCAGTTACATATCAGAAGAGCAAGGAGTTGACAGACTGTGATGTTTATTGCCTTTCTCTCTCTCACTTCTTGTCTATCCTGCTTTGGATGCCAGAGCAGTCACCATTAAATACATCATCACATCACAAAAAGTTGTTCAAAGGAGCATGCCAAAGCACAAACAAGACAGTGCATTCTAGAACAGGATTACCTGAACGTCCAGTTATTCCTCTGCAACCAGAATATGGTGTTCCCATTAACCACATTTTATTTGATGCATTTGGAAAAAAGCTTCATTGCCAATGGACTGCTGAAGCTCAGTATTCACATAAAATCGTTTTCATATTTTCCTGGCTACTTCCACAAGCCTGAAAACCTCAATTTTCTGGTCATTTCATAAAGGGCTTTTGCAATTTTTTTTTTTGACAATAAATACTTTCCCAGGTTTACTGAGGTATGATTGCCAAATAAAAGTTCCATATACTTAAAGTATAAAATGTGATGTTTTGATATACATGGTGAAAGCTAATTAACCTTACAGTTACCATTTTGTTGTGATGAGAATACTTAAGATCTATTCATAGCAAATTTCAAGTTTTCATTTTTATTTTCTTTGATGCTCTGTTGCCCAGGCTGGAGTACACTGGCATAATCTTAGCTCACTATAACCTCACACTACTGGGCTCAAGCAATCCTTCCACTTCAGTCTCCCAAGGAACTAGGACTGCAGGTATACTACCACGCTCAGCTAATTTAAAAAAAAAATTGTAGAGATAGGGTCTCACTGTTGCCCAAGCTGGTCTTAAACTCCTGACCTCAAGCAATCCTCCTGCCTCAGCCTCCCAAAGTGCTGAGATTACAGGCATGAGGCACCACAGCTAGCCTATACACTATTAATTATAGTCACTATACTATATATTAGGTTTCCAAAACTAATTCATCTTATGATTAAAGTTTATACCCTTGGACCATTATGTCCCCAATTCTCCCAACCCCAACCACCAATCACCCTTCTAAGATTGACTTTTTTTACATTCCGCATATAAGTGACATCATACTGTATTGTCTTTCTGTGCCTGGCTTATTTCACTTAGTATAATGTCCTTCAGGTTCATCCATGTTGTCACAAATGGCAGGATTTTCTTCTTTTAAAAGGCTGAATAATATTTCATTTCACTTTTTAGTTTTTTAGAGTTGGAATTTCACTCTGTTTCCAAGACTGGAATACAGTGGTGTGATCATAGGTCACTGCAGCTCTGAACTCCTAGGCTCAAACAATCCTCTCCTTAGTCTTCTGAGTAGCTGGGACTACAGGAGCACACACCATGCTTAGCTGATTGTTTTTATTTTTTGTGAACTGGGTCTTTCTATGCTGCCCAGGCTGGTCTTTAACTGCTGGTCTCAAGTGACCCTCCTGCCTCAACAACTTCTGAAAGTGCTGAGATTACAGATGTGAGCCATCATGCTCAGCTGCAAATGTTTTTGTTTGTTGATTTTGTATCCTGCAACTTTTGCTGAGTTAGTTCTAGCAGTTTTTTGTCCTTCAGGTTTTCCACATATAGCATCATGCCATCTGTAAAGAGAGAATGTTGCATCTTTTTTTAATTGTACGCCTTATATTTTTCTTTCCTAATAGCTCTGGCTAGGACTTCCTGTACTAAATTGAATAGATGTGGTGACAGTAGGTATTCTTGTCTTGTTCCTGATCTTAAAGGCAGAGCTTCTAGGTTTTTACCACTGACTATGATGTTAGCTGTGGATCTGTCATATATAGCCTTTACTGTTTTAAGGTATGGTCCTTCCAAAAACAGCTTGTTGAGAGTTTTTATTATAAAAGGATGGTGAATTTTGTATTATGTCAAATGCTTTTTGTGCATCTCTTGAGATGATTGTATTACTTTCTCTTTTTGAAGGAGTTGTTTGTACAATGAGTATTAACATTTATTCACTTACATTCATATACACTATTAAACAAGTATCTGACTAATCTCAGACTGTAAGCTTATGAGAAGGAGTGATTATGTCCGAAGTCCTTTCGCTAAGTCTCTTAAGCTTATGGTTGAATAATTTCAGCTTTAAAAAGGCTAAATAAATATTCTATTTATGTATTTTTTTAAAGTTGGAGTCTTGCTCTGTCACCAGAACTTTATGCACATATAGTTATATCTGAACAAATATACATAGATGAAATTGGTTTTAGGGAGGTGATGCTGAAAGTAAAATATTTGGAAAAAGATTATCTTAAAGGGGAAAGGAGACAGTCTTTTAAAATGAAATCTAAAGACTAAAAGCTTTCTGTGTTGGATCAGTAACAAGCCATGGATGCCTGCTTTCATAACTTCTATTCAATACCATACCAGAAGTTCTAGTCTGAGCAATTAGTGATAGAAAGAAAAGGCATCCAAATTAGAAAGAAGTAAAACTGTATCTTATCACAGATGACATGCTCCTACAGATAGAAAATCCTAAAAAATCCACAAAAAAGTATTAGAACGAATTAATAATTCAGCAAAATTGCAGGATTAAAGATCAATATGCAAAAATCAGTTCTATTCCTATACTCTATAAATGAACAATCCCTCTCAAAAAAGATGAAAACAATTTTATGAAAAATGGTTTTAAAACAAAAAATACTTAGGAATAAATTTAGCCAAGGAGGTATAAGATTGTACATTGGTAACTACAACACACTGCTGAATGAAATTAAAGAAGGCCTAAGTACATGGAAAGATACTCCATGTTAATGCATAGGAAGACTTAGGAATGCTAGATTGATAATAGTCCCCCAAGGTACTTTACAGATTCAGTGTGATCCCTATGTGATGCCAATGGTCTTTTTTTCTTTTTTTGCAGAAATAGAAAATCTTATCCTAAAATTATTATGGAATTGCAGGGGCCCTTAAGTAGCCAAGACAGTCTTGAAAAAAGGGAAAAAAGTTGAAGGAACATACTTCCTAATGTCAAAACTTACTAAAAAGCTACAAGAATAAAAACAGTGAGGTACTGGCCAAAGGACAGACATATGGATTAATGGAAAAGAATTCAGAGTCCAGAAATAGGAACACTTACATCCTAATGAGAATGTAAAATGGTGCACATGCTATGCAGTTGGCAGTTCCTCAAACAGTGAAACCTAGAATTATCACTTAGCAACTCCTCTCCTAGGTATATACCGCAAAGAATTAAAAACAGGTGCTCAAACAAAAACTTGTATATGAATGCTCATAGCACAAGTCACAGCAGTCAAAAGATAGAAACAAGCAGCCCAAATGTCCATCAACAGATGAATGAAAAAGCAAAAAGTGGCACATCCATAAAATGGAATATTATTCAGTTATAAGAAGGAATGAACTACTGATCCTTGGACTAGAAACATTATGTTAAATGAAAGAAATCAAAGCAATAGGCCACATGTTGTATGATCTCTTTTATATGAAATATCCAAAATAGGCCATGTCCACAGAAAGAGAAGCTAAACAGTGATTGCCAGGGGCTGGGGAAAGAAGAAAATGGAGAGTGATGACTTAATGGATACAGGGTTTCCTTGTGGGTGATGAAAAATTTCTGGAACTACATATAGTCATGATGGTTGCATAATATTGTGAACGTACACTGAACTGTATACACTTTAAAACAGTTAAATTTTATGTTATGTGTACTTTTCCACAATAAAAAAATAAATGAAACAAAATAAAGGAACCCAGACCATAGTAAAAGAGGATAAAGAAAAAGGGAAGGAGGAAAGGAAGGGAAGAAAGAGAAGGAAACAAAGGAATGGAAGGAAGGAGTAAAGGAGAAAGAAATAATTAAATAAGTAACAAAAACAAGGTCAAGCAAATATGTTATGTGGTCCAAATGGGAATGATACACCTATTAATAAAAAGAAAAAAATAGGAGTTTTTAATCCAACAAATAAATGCTTCTATAAACAACCAATTTAAACTACTATATTGTGAGAAACATATGAAAACTTATAGACCATACAATACTGGGGTAAAATTATCAAATTTATAAAAAAAAGAATTCATACCAATACTATATAAATACAAAGAAATATATGACCCAATAGAAATGCAGGTAATAAATATAAACATGCCATTAATAGAATATAAACTCTAAATCCATATAGTCTCAACATCATAAGTAGTCAGGAAAATGAAATTAAATAAAACATAATTTTTCACCTAATAGCTTGGTAAAAATAAAAATACAAAATACCCATACTGATGATGATGTCTAGAAACAGTATTCTCACATATTCTTCACCAGTGATATAGCAAAATATCCACAATACTTAAAAAATATATGTACTTTGGCCATGCAAATTCATTCTTAGGCATATATTTTAAAGAAATACTCTGACATAGAAGCAAAGAGATATGCACAAACTGGACCACTGTTGATTATAGATATAAACAAAAAAAACCTAAATGCTCAAATGTCCTCAACAGTAAATTATTTAAGTAAGTTATGGTATATCCATATATTGTAACACTATACAGCCATTAAAAAATGAAGTACAACTATATACATCATGTTTCTGAGGATGCCAATAGAAGAAATCATATTAGAAGTAAATATATTGACCTATATAAAAATTGAGAAAACTTTACATATCACAATTTTAAAAGGCCTACTTAAAATAAAAACTCGTTACCCTATGTGAAAAATAGTTTGAGACAATACATCAAAGAACTAGTATGCTTATATACATAGCAATCAACCACTGAGACCATGAAGAAAACATTTTAATGTATAGAAAAATAATTACAAATGAGGAACATTTTACAAAAAGATAAACCAAATATAAGGGAAACTGTTCAAGTTCTTTCATAATAAAAAAATAATTTTAGCTTATCATCTTTCAACAAATGAGCAAAAGTTTTCATGTAAATACCCAATGTTTTGAGGATGCAATTAAACCTAACATCTAATCATTGCTCATTAAAAACAGAGAGTCGTTAAAAACAAAATTTCAGAGCCTAATAGATGCTCTACTTCATCAAGTTACCCATAAATATGCCTTATCCTCTCTGTTAGAGTAATTTCTTAATGGCGTACATACATATGTAATTCTCCCTGTCTCCAGTTGCCTACCAATACCAAGCAGAGTGGCTCACTTGCATAATTTTCAATCCATGGTGCTCACAGGAATGGATGTGTGATGAAATGAATGGGTCATTTAACCACAGAAGAGAAAATCTTTGGAAGTTAGCTCAAAAGTACATCAGGGTCAGGAAAAGGTCACTTCAGAAACTGATAGGCTGGGCCAGGCACAGTGGCTCAGGCCTGTGATCCCAGCATTTTGGGAGGCCAAGGTGAGAGGATCGTTTGAGCCCAGGAGTTTGAGACCAGCCTAGCCAACATAGTGAGATCTTGTCTCTACAAAAAATTTTCAAAACATTAGCTGGGTGTGGTGGCATGTGCCTGTAGTTTAAGCTACTAAGGAGACTGAGGAGCAGAAGGATTACTGAGCCCAGGAGGTTGAGGCTGCAGTGAGCCGTGACTGTAGCCCTGCATTCCAGCCTGGGTGACAGAGTGAGACTCCAACTCAAAAACAACAACAACAACAAAACAGAGGCTGATACACATCTGAGTGGCCAAGAAAAGAAGGAACACTCCAGAAAAATGGGAGTTACTGGAGAAAAGGAGAAGGAAGAGGAAAGAATAAGTTTGAAATTCCAGTTTTCTCTCCAGACCTGGAAGGTTTGGTAAAGTTTTCTTCTGTACGTGAGTGAGGATTTGGCCACTCTGATAAAAGTTGAGCTTTCCATGCAGTGGCTTTTCCACACAAGACTCTCTCACTCACCTGAGAACAGGCCTCCCGTCAGCTCTCGTTTCACCATCCAGGAGTCCTTCCCTTGCTCCAGTAAACAGACTAAATCTGGCTTAGACACATGATGTCCTGAAAAAGTGAAAAGAGATAAGGTTCAGTCATATTCTTGGCATTCTAAAATTGAGAAACTGTTTCTTATAGATAGAAAAGTGTTATTGTAGGAATAATCAGAAAGACAGGAGAGTAGGATCTGAAAGATATCAAAGACAATACTTCAAGCCTAACAAAGACACCAACTTTCAATGCCACAAATGTCATACTCTTAACTTAGGAATTGGGAGCAAAAATTTAGGTCAGAACTTCAGAAGACCGCCTTCCTCCTCCATAATTCAAAAGAGAAGTTTGACAATGAGGGCTCCTAAAGACAGACTCAGATTTGGGAGACATCCTTACCTACTGACCCCAGGTCGTTACAGTTCTCCAGTATCCTGTTCTTACAGAAACTCTTCTGACCTGGGTCTAGTTGCTGGGAGAAGTTGACAGCCATGTTTTTGATGGTCACCAAGACCTGAAATGGTACAAGTGCATTTTTTATCAAACCAAGCTTGTGGACCCGCCTGGCTGGAGGGGGTGGGCTGTGTCCACACAGTGAAAGAGGCATTTTCTTCCAAGAAGTGCAACTTAGGTTCTGTGTAAACCAGGACACATTAATGACCAGCCACAGTTATACCACACGTTTGGCAAAAATAGAAAAAAAAAACAGGATAAACTGTTTCTGCTGTGGAGAATTTGTAATTTTGTAGAGAATGAACTTACAGTATGAACGTTTTAATGCTGACTGAAGGCTTTCCCACATTCAATATGTATGATTCAGTAAGGCCACAGGGTTTTTTCTCTTCTATGAAATCTTTGATAAAATGGGAGGGTTGAGATCCTGCTCAAAGTTTTCTCACATACATTACAAATCGGACATTAACAGTTTTGTCTGTAATTCATTACAACTCAATTTTCCTCCCACTTTCCTTATGTGTATCAAGATTATATACTCTATTCTGAGAGGATAATCTGTCTATAAGAAGTACTGTATTCAGATGGAAACTTCTCTCATAGTTACTGTAGTCATGGTCTCTTTCTTCGAGAAGTGTTTCTTTTGAGGGGTTTCTTTTCTTTTCTCTTGCCTAAAGTGTATCTCCTGACTTACCGGCTGTGTCTCAAACAGAGCATCATAATCCCAGTTTTCCCCCAATATAGAGTACTCCAGACTATAATTTGCAAGTTTCTCTGTTATCGGTGCCTGGGATAATTTTTCTTCACAGAAGTCTTTCTTAAGAGTTAACTTCTTGGTCTCCTGCACAGCCTTCAAGTCTGAAAAACATTAAGAAAGCAAGTATCTCTTTATTACCTATCAGTATGAAGAAAAATTCCAAAATATAACCAGGTGAATTAAAACCCTCAAAAAAGCATATCGTTTTGAAAGTTTTTTTTAATATAACCAGCAATATTCAACCACCTTACATTCCTAAATTGGTGTATCTATAGTCCCAGAGGCTACAGTAAGAGTTTTCCCACCTAAATGTTGAACTAACAGTACATGTTATACTTTTAGCAGACGACTGGAAAAAGAAATTTAAAATCAAGAGATAAGAAAGCTCACAAAGACTTAAATCTAAGATAAAATGTTACTAATATAAACAAATAGGAAGTTGAGGTCATAGAAGAAAACTGCTATATCCTTATACTTCAGTAGTATTAAGTAAACTCCCTTTGACACTTTCATCTCTATTTCTACATACCGCCTTTCTTACTACAATGTCTACAATGTTAACTAATAAAAAAACAGATCCTGGCCAAAAATGCAGGATAATTAACTTCATAATTAACTAGAGTCTCAACAAGAGATAAAGAATCAGCAGGAGGAGAAAACAGTTCTAGCTCATAAAACTAGTTCAAACAATATGATCTAATATGATGTTAAACTGAAAACTCACAAAAATATCATTCTTGTCCTTGTGTGATATAATGACCCATGTGAGTCACTATAATTTGTAACTGTGATCAACCTGTCCCATTGTCAATATAAACGTTTCCTATGAAGTATGATTTGAACAAAGAAATCTTTTACAATTCTATATATTGTTTAGAAATTATTACTATTTCCTACCATAATAAAACCCCTGAAAGAAATCTATAATTTTGATTTCTTGTCTTACTTGATACTTTGCTGTTCCAGAAATAATGCTGTGGTTGAAATTTCTGTATTCCCAAACAGTATAATTATCACCACAATATCTGTACAAATATTCCATCAAATCAGAATCAGTGTTCTTTTCTTCTGAGAGCCAGTAACCCAACTGCATGGTGCCTGTCTGTACTAAGTCCATTTGACCCCATATCTATTACAGCCCAATCCAAACTCATCTCCTAACCTACCTGTCTCTTCTTCTTCTTACGTTTCAGTTCAAGGCTCTATCTCATTGTTTCCCTGGCTTAAAACTGGAATGATTTCTTTTCTTTCTCTCACATCCCTATTTATACTAGTCACACAGAAGTACAGTTTCTACTTCACTTAAGTTATGTATACATCTGTCTCATCTCCCCTGTGAGGTGGTTTTATTTCTTTAGTAGCACCTGACAGCCTTACTCAAAGATGAAACTCAGTTAGTATCAATTAGAAAAGTAGGTCCCTAAACGAAATAGTCACTTAATCAAACACAAATAAGACAGTAAAAGCTACACAGAAATCAGCAAAATATTTGTTTAAAGGACAGAGATACTTCTGTAAGCCTGAAAGACAAAGGAAAGGGAGAGCTAGGAAAAAGTTGAACAGAGAGAGGAAAATAAGTTATCTCTAAAGAGAGAGAGGAACAAAGTGGGAGAGAAGAGATGGAGGAGAACAAAAACCAGGTAGCCCATGGTAAAGAGGACTTATTTTCCCTCTAGGCTGTAGGCCTAGGAAGAGTCCACTGACGGTGCTGCATGTCTGAGGCAGCTGTACTATATATGCAGTGGCCTTGACTCACCTGGTTCTCCCACACTCACCTGGGCACTGGCCTCTTGTCTTTCTCTTCACTGTCCAGGGCTCTTTTCCTTGTTCCAGTGAGGAAATCACATCAGGCTTAGAAACACAAAGTCCTAGACACAGAAGAGACAGGAGGTGGTCATGCTGTGGGGCGTCCAGATGTGAGATGCAGTCCCCTTGGCTTGACTGAAGAGGGGAGTGCAGAGCTCAGTGATGAAGGAATAACAGTCTTCTCAGTCACGCAGTGGGTGGAGAGAGAAGTGGGAGAAGGGGCAGGGAACACCCTTACCCAGCAACACCAGGTTCCTGTAGTTCTCCAACATCACCTTTCTGTACAGATGCCGCTGAGCAGAGCTCAGCCACTCCCACTCCTCTTGGGAGAAGTCTACAGCCACATCCTCAAATGTCACCAAGTCCTGAAATGACATTTATCCTTACAAGAACTGTTTGAGGCAGGTTCTATTATTTTCCTCATTCTACAGATGAAGAAAATGTGGTCATTCAAGCTGCCCTAAGTTTACACAGTAAATAAGTTCAAGAGCCAACGTGTGCACCCAGAAAGTTCATACTCCGTACCTATAACTATTTTGCCACTATGCTTCTGTCGAAATGTTCCACTCTGACAACAGCAGTAACATTTAATATCCATTCACCCTGACAGTTAAACAAGGTCCACTAGAAAACGACATGGTCTTCAGATAAAATCAAATAAACTTTCTCTAATAGAGATCTGGATCAACTTGCTTAATTCAGGTGGACACAAAACACTCTCAAAAGTGCAGCATTTGTATACTTAACTCTGAACTGTACCCCACATCTTTAAAATTAAAAATTAAAAATAAAAAGTACAGGTCCTTGCCGGGCTTGGTGGCTCAGCCTGTAATCTCACACCTTTGGGAGGCTGAGGTGAGTGGACTGCCTGAGCCTGCGAGTTCAAGACCCGCCTGGGCAGGCGAGACCTCATCTCTACAATAAAAAAAAAAAAAAAGTACAGGTCCTAGGGTTATTCCTGTTACCGCAACATAAATATTTAGATTTTCAAATAGGCTTCTCATTTTCACACTACACCACAGAGAAAACATTATACAGGCACAGAATCTGTACCTGGTTTAAGCACTTAATTCGATGATTTAACTCATCTTAATATATATAAGAGCTAAGCATGGTGGTGAATGCCTTTAGTCCCAGCTCCTCAGGAGGCTGAGGAGAGAGGATCCCTTGAGCCTAGGAATTCGAAAATGTAGTCTACTGTGAACATACCAGTGAATAGCCACTGTACTACAGTCTGGGCAATATAGCAAAAACCCATCCTTAAAAAAATTTTATAAAATATGAGCATGTGTGTACACCTATATATGTGTACAAGTTCATAGTGCTTGTTTTGGCATGGCAACACTGCAATGTTGGGAGCTTGTTTATTGTCATTTGTCATTTTGAGTGACAATATTGTGCTTGTAAACATGCCTTGCATTTTGCAGATTTGAAGAAAGTTAGTGCTATTTGTGGGCTAAAGAAGATGGAGTATCAAGTGGAAAAAAAGAACACTAAGTTTAACACAGTTTAACAGAGGAGTAAAAGCAGTGGAGGCAGCTCAAAACACTGTTCGAGTTTAACAGGAGTAAAGGCAGTGGAGGCAGCTCAAAACATCTGTGCTGTGTACTGGGAGAATGACATCAGGAAAAGCACCACAAGAAAATGGTTTTGTCATTTCAAAGAAGGCCACTTTGACCTGAGTTTCCACGTTCAGAAAGTCTTTGATGAAGACCGTTTAGACACTTTAATCCATAATGATTCACATCAATTGGCAACACTTTAATCCATAATGATTCAAAACAACTGGCAAATGTGACCAATTGTGACTAGTCAACCATCATGCAACATTTGCATTCCATGGACAAGTAAAAACACTATGAACTTATGCATCAACCCAACATATACATGAAATAGAGACGTTAAAGGCATAAAAACCAAAACTAACTCTATCCTTATAGGAAAAAAATACTTTCTATTAAGATTTCATAGAAAAGAATGTACTTTATAGAAAAAAATGCATTAAGATGGGGGTTTTTTTTGTTCAATTCACTTAATTTTTAAGACACATAAATAAAAATTATTTGGTAATAATTAGTTTTCTTGGTGACATATACTTTTTTCAAAGCATGATTTCCACCCTTTGAGTCCCATTTGGGGCCCATTGCTGTTCTACCCATACATAATTTTAGAAGTATTCTGATTTCATTATAAGTTTGAGAAACCTAATCCATGAGGAAAGAAGTTTCTACGAATGTAGTCATATAAAATAATCAGGGATGAAGTATATTTTCCAGTATAACAATGACTATTCTAGCACTATACTAAATAGCAAACACATTGGCCACAAGAGAACTTTAAGATTATACACAAACATCCTTCTAATGAATATTATCTGTATCAGCAAATGGGGAAAAACTATCCCAAATCTCTGCTTATGAAGGGAATGAGACAAGAGACAAGATAAAGTAAGTAAAATACAGTTGACCCTCAAACAACACAGGTTTGACCTGTAAGGGTCCACCTATATGAATCCTTTTTTCAACCCATTACAGTATTCACAGGATGCAAAATATATTTTGAGAGCTGACTTTTTGTATCCACAGGTTCCACATGGCCAATTTTGGCACTTGAATATGTGCAGATTTTGGTACATGCAGGGGTCCTGGAAACAATCCTCCATGTATACCGAGGGATGACTGGATGTGGCATGTTGAAAAGTGCCAAAAGAACAAAGTGAAGCAGGAAAGAGAGATGTGACGAATTGGGGCAGGAAGCTGTGGACTTTTATACAAGTTGATCAGCCTGGCATGCTGGGGTGAATTTGTGAGAAGCCAGCATGTAGGTAGGTTTCACAGACAATAAACAGGCTAATCTTCCAGGAGAAGGTAAGCAGACAGAAAAGAAAGGTCCAAGAACAGAGCACTGAGGCACACCAACAGTTCAAGGTCAGGGATGTGAAAAGGAACCACAGTGAAATTGAGAAAAGAAGGTGAGAGGAAAGTAGTGTGGTATCCTAGAAGCCAAGGGAAAGGGGCCTATTGAAGGGCAGCGATGAGCTATTTCAGGGGCTGGAGGCCACCTGTTTTTGTAAATAGGGTTTCACTGGAACACAGTCCATTTCCTCATGTACACACTGTCCAAGGTGCTTTTGCTCTAAAAAGGCAGAGTGGAGAAGCAGCAGAAGAGGCCCTCGAGGCTTAACACACCACTGTGGCTTTGTACAGCAAAAATTTCCCAGCCCCTGAGCCATTTCAAATACCAATGGAAGTTTAAAAAAAGACTAAGAATCGAGCACTGCATCGGGTAATGTGAAGGTAGCCGGGTCTGGAGCAGTTTGGACGGGGCAACTGGACACCAGCTCACATATTTATGAGCTAGCTAATGAGACACAACCGACAGAAATGGACAAAATGATGTATTAGCATTTTAAGGCCACAGCATCAAGTGGGAAAAAAAAGCCTTTTATATTGCACCTCCTCTCCCTAAAGTGTTGCCCTTCCCTTTTCTGCCTCCCAAACATCTCTTCCTTCAAGGCGACACTCAAAAGTCACCTCCTCGGTAAACACATCTACCCTTCCTCCAGGCAGGCTGGAAGGCAGAAGCTTCTTGCAGTCCACTCTCGTAGTGCTGGGCCCAAGCCCATTCCGGAACCTCGCCTGCTTCTCTGTCTTTGGGTCAACAGGCCGTGAGCTCCTCGAGAGCAGGGAATAGGGTTGGCCACCTGCTCCTCCAGCGCCCAGCACAAAGTGGGCACCAAACAAACCGGGCACAGCACAAGGGGCGGCCCGTGCCCCCAAGGGCATTTCCGCTTCAGCAGGGTCCGGTGGGAAAAGCGGTACAAGGCTGGGGTGACTCGTTTCATCAACGGAGACTGAACGCGGATCGGGACGAAGAGGAAGTGGGAGGGAGGCCGGGTGGCTTAAACCTCTCCCTGCTGCCTGTCACTCCCCAGACGGTGAGGACAAGGACACCCGCACCCGGGTCTCTGACGCCACAAACTTCGGAGAAAATCGAGTCCCGAGAAGCAAGACCGCGTTCCAGAGAGGAGCGAGGACACCAGCTCACCTGGGACATGGCTTCGGGTCCGGGTCTGGGTCCGGGTCCGGCCCCGGGCCCCACGGCCTGCGGCGGGCGGCTTCTCTCCGGGAGAAGGGCCGCGTCCCCGGCGGGCAGAGCTGGAGGAGGAAAAAGGCAGAGGCTGAGGCCGGGGACGCCCCTTGCGGCGCGAGCCAGGCGGGAA